ATAATAAGATATAAGTTATATATATTTTAACTCATTAATTAGGTTAATTAATTAATTATATTAATTTAGAGACGCTGGGTTATTGCTTTTTTTCAAAAAGCAGTTGCTGAGGAATATTTTGGCGCTGTTCTTGGTCGCCCTTTACCAGCTTATCAAGACTATAATCCAAATCTTACGCCAGGTTAAAAAAAATACAGTTTCTTGTATAATAATTCAATCTATTTTATCAAATAATATGTTCCTAACCTTATATCTGAATTTAATATCTTAACAGGAGTTGACACATTCTTTTCAACTGTCACATTCCGATACGGTCATAGTGAATTAAGGTTGATATTACACGATATTCTTTTTACTGAAAAGTATCTAATAAATTCTCAAAATTTAGTGATTTTTACCAAATCCGAGATGAATACGGAGACACCCTTTATAATTTAGCTTTAAGCGATATTAAGAATCTCACCTTACTAGAGCAATTTGGTCTTGAAAGAGTACTTTGGTCAATGGTTCTTCAACGTCAAGAAGAAGTTGATATTTTTATGTCTGATTCGACTAAAAAAGTTATTTCTTTTGATAACTATACTCTTGATCTAGCAGCTTTTGACCTTTTACGTAGTAGAGATCGTGGTAAGATATTTATTTAATCATTTTTAATCATTTAAATTCTTAAAATTCTATATCAGATATGTTAAATCTATTATTAATTTTTATTATAAATACTGTATTATTACAGGTATTCCTTTGTACAATGTGGTTCGGCAATATTTTGGCTTTCCTAAAGCTCAGTCATTTGCTGATATCTCCACAAACTCTAATATTCAAGAAAACTTGGCTAAAATCTATCCAAATGGTGAATACTACTCTTTATTATATACTGTCAAACCCCATAAAATGCACGTTTCACTTTTTTTTTTACTATGACCGAGGAGGGTGCATTATAGAGGCCTGACTATATAAAATTTACAAGTTTTATTATTTATTATATTTATATATACTTTATATGTTTTACTATTTATATTATTTAGGAGTTGATTCAATAGAGGCATGGGTTGGTGTAATGAGTGAAGATCATTTAAATGGTTCAAACTTTGGCAATGTTTTGAATGCGAGTATGGTAACACAGGTAATACTTTATTAATATTATTACAGTATAACCTCCCCTGTCAAAACTGATAACTGATAAAAAATTAAGCCACCATGTCTGTTCCATAAGTCAAACCTGATAATCTATCAAACCTGATAACTGATACTTAAAAATTAATATTTATAAGATATCGGATTTGACAGGTAAAATAAATTGATTTGATTGGCTCAAATTAGATTTTGTGTAACATATTATAAATATAATAAATAAATCTAGCCAATCATATTGGTTTAAAGCTATATAGCTAATAGGTTATTAGTTTTTCAAAACTGATAACCTGTTAAAACTGATACAAAAGCTGGCCACCATGCATATCGGTTTAGGGAGGTTATACTGTATATAAGATTTAGCTGATATATTAATTTACCTTTTTTTTTTTTTTAAAAAAAAAAAAGTATGTTAACCTTAGAGATTCTGATAAATTTTGGTTCGAGAGGCCTGATATGTTTAATTCAGATGAACAAAAAATTATAAGAAACACGACACTTCGAGATATTATCATTCGTAATATTAACAAAAATGTAAAATTTCCACAAAACATTTGGGCTGTTCAACCTCGAATGATACTTAACAATGACGATGATGATAAATATCCAAATAAAATTAGTATTTGGGCACAATATATCATAAGTCATAGAGTCGATTTAACTTATGTGTATTTTAAGGTTCAGCTTCAGACGTTTAATGGCAATGGATGGTTTGGAATGGTGAGTATACTGTATATTATTATATTATTATTTTTTATTTGATTAAATAAGATAAATTTCTTGGTTTTTGTGACAAATATTTGAAAAATGCACTTAGCTCTTAATTTTTTAATATTAAATTTTTTTTATGAAATTTATCCCAAAGAAAAAATATATATAATATAAAATTTTTTTAATTTTAATTTATGAATATACAACTTACTTTATCTATTATTTGTATTATAGGGGTTTAGTCCTGATGATGATGGAATGAGAGGAGCGGAATTTATTATTGGCACCGTAAGTAATAATAAAAAATATTTTATAAAGAATAATTATTATCTAAACTTTTCTATATCATTTTATTAAAGGTCACTGATGGAAATGTAACATTAGAGAATTACCATGCTGATGTAGGTGGTTACCATCCTCCCCTTCGTGATTCTGATCAAGATCCCACTCTTGAACCAAGATTTTCTATGTCTGATACTAAAGCCGTGACTGTAGAGTTTAGAAGACCTCTTAATCCTCCAGGAAGAAAACCAATTATACATGGTGATATGAAATGTAAGGCATTTAACTTTATATTGGAGACCAATTTGACCAAATTTGGTATTAAAAGGTTATTAATATAAATATTTAATAAATTAATACAATATATAATAATTAATATAAATATTAATATAATAGACAATTTAAATAGAAATTTAAATTTAACCAAAATAAGAGATAAAATTTTGGTCAAATTGGTTAAATAGGTTAATTTACTAACCCAATTGTAATGTTTAATTATTATTACATATACAGATATTATCGCTTACAATCCAAATAGTAATGCCTTCTCTTATCACCTAAATAATCGTATAATGATTCGAGTGAATTTTTATAGTAGTGAAGTTAGTCCCGCGATTACAACTAACTTCCAAATGCTAATCAAACTTATTCATGGCTGTGGAATGTTCTTTATATGGTGGTAAATAGGATTTTTTTTCTGTAATCAATATGTTACTAGACAAGGCTTTATAATACTTATACGGCAAATTATATAATCTAGTATCTTATTTCCAATATCAATTTTTATTGTTCGGTACTGCAAGGTATGCTTCACATCATCAAGATCCTTAATATATATCTATAGAACTATTAACATTAGAATTTGATTATTTTGCAGCATTATAATATGTACCTTAGAATTCATCGGTATCTTCAAGTGATGGGTGGTATTTCAGCTTCGGCATTTTGTGCTGCTGTTATGTCTACAGTGGTAATAACACGAACGCCACATGCCTGGTATTATCTTATTTGTTTCTGCCTGTATTCTTACTATTATTAGTTTTATTAAATATTTATAAATCTAGGGCTGGATTGGTCATATATACTTTATCACTTACTGAATTAGGTATTTATTCAATTGAACATAAGCTTTACAATTGATTAGTTTGCGATTTAATTTTTGAATTTTATAGTTCTTGGTTTCATTACTTTATGGGGACAAGAGGCTGTAGTGTCAGTTAATAAGGTTTGTTATAACATTTTTGCATTTAAAATGTCTTTTAGTGGATTAATTAATTATGTTGAATGTTCTGCAGGGGTATCCAAGGTTTATAAAACGTTTTCATCAAATATTTGGTGCAGTGTTATTATTATCTTCATGGTAAAAACATCATTGTAATTGCTGTTAATATTTTCATTATAAGATACTAATATTTTTTTTAATCAATATATAAAAACTATAGGATTAATATATATCTTGGTGATTAGTCGCATAAATTGATTTTTATATATATTTATAATTCCGTAAATTAAAATTATTGGATTAATATATATGTTTATTTCTAGGGATTGATACATTTTGTCTTTCATATGGCTAGTAAATATAACTTTTCAACATTTTTGATATATTTTTTACCTTATTATTTTCATTTCTAATTTAGTAAATATTTACTGGCAGTCAATCATTTTGGTGGAAAGTTGCATACTGTTTTTGGTTAGTAATTGTTACTATTATTTTCTTAATCGGCGAGCGGCGATTTGATGGAACTTTCCAGCGATTCATCTGTGCTAAAAATGAGGTTGTTGAACAAAATATTTTAATGAATCCTCATATTAATCATAAAGAATATGATAAATTACCCGAGTTTACTTGGGAAGAAATTAATGGGAGAGTTCAGTGTGGGGTATGTTGAATAATTTCAAATTGTAGATACAGTATATAGCTATTATTGTTAATTTAAAAACTACTTACAAAATCTATATATATATATTAAATATATATTTATTTTACTATTTAGGCGTACTTGGTCGTTTGCGATGGGTTTGTTGTGGATATCTGTGATTGGTATCATTCTCATCCAGGTTAGTTTTTTTTCATAGTGATTCATTTTTCATATATGAAAATTTACATTACACTTCTATTCAACAGGAGGAAATCAAGTATTATTAAATGTAAATATTACAATAGTTTCTCATTTGGTCGCTAAGATTTATTTACAACGTTATTATACTTATAATTAATTTTATATAATAAATCATAGGCTATTGGAACAGATATTACAAATGGTAAGAATTACAGACAGACTCCTTAATAGTCAACTCTTATAATGATATCATATAAAGCTTATACTCATTCATATCCATGTTTAGTATAAGTTGTTATTGAACTTATAAAAAATTAAAGTTACATTCATTTTTATTCGTCCTTCCAAAAATTTGATTATGTTGACTATAAGGGGGACTGTTTTCATATATGGGTTCTTAGCATAAAAAGACTCTTCTGACTATGTAAATAATAGTCCCGAAGGGTCATTTTGTTAGCAAAGATCCCCTATTTTACAAAGAATGAAGAAATAATTTTTTTTCATTATAGATTTCTACAACACACACAAAGAGGCAAAATTTGGTGAAGTAGATTCTCTAGAAGATTTATTGATTCAGAAGGTTGAGCCTTCTGGAGTTTCTTCATCCATGCTTACAACGTATATAAATTATCTTCGAGGAAAGCCAACGCTTCCGAAACCATCCACAATTGCTCGATTTATTGATAATATGAATATAAAACACTATTTCAAAGAACCACTAGCGCAACATCCTCATAGCAGATTTGCCACGCAGAAAATGGCATCAATGGTGATAGGAAAAGTAAATGAAAAAGAGCAATTGACTCAAAATAATGATGATACTCTTTTTGCGATTCAAGAAAAAAATGAAATTAGTTCAGGTTCAGTTGAAATTAGTGAAATATTTACAAATATTTCAATTAGTATCAAATTTCATCTTTATAAGCTTACAAGTAAAGAAATGGTCAATGCAAATGCCAATTATCCTGTAATGAAATTTACATTTTCCAATGTACATCATGATAAAGATATCAGCAATCAAAAGTTCTTGCCTGGACATTACGTTGAATTACAAGCTAGAATAAAAGGCCAAATTGTGATTAGGAGTTATACCCCTGTAGAAGGAAGCCTATCCAGGTCATTTTCAATCTATGTTAAGATTTATCCAAATGGACTCTTTTCACAGCATTTGGTGAGTACACTATTAATTTTAAAATAATAATTTTATTATTATTAATCTTTTTAAGTATATATAAATATGGTTTCTTAAAATTTTAGAATAAACAACTTTTAGGATATGAAATTCAAGTCCGTGGCCCATTTAACGTTTGCGATAGACTTAGACTAGATTCTACGTCAGCAACGCTGTTAACTCCAGCAGATTCTTCTATTCTGAGAACAAGCCATACGTCACCTACTAGAATATTTTCTCCGATAGAGACTTCTTTATTAAACCAAAACAGTTCTGATGGTTGCTGGGACGAATTATATATGATTGCTGGTACCTATTTTATCTTGACAATTTTCTTAATAATATGTTAATAATATAAGATAACCTTTTCTTGTTTTTTTTTTTTTTAGGTGGTACTGGAATAACGCCAATGTTGCAGGTAATCTAATATTCTCATTCTCTCAATACGTTTAATAATATATGTATTAATATTTGATTGTTAAATTACTATATAATAGTTAATTAAATATTATTTGGAACAGTCAATGAAACGAAATAGAGACTCCAAGCAAAAGATTAGGTATAAACGAATGTATTTATTATTTGGAAACCGTAATATTGAGGATATTATTGATGGTACATTACTTGAATATCTGGAACTTTCAAGTAAAGGGCAACTTACTGTAACATACTGTCTCTCAGATCCACCATCTGATTGGACTGGTTTGCAAGGAAAAATTGATCAGCAATTATTACAAGATTGGATGAATATAATACGAGGTGTCCTATTACCAACTACTCAGCAGAATGAAGTCAAGTCTCAGATAACACCAGATGATAATAATTACGCAAGTATTCGAAGTAATTCTATACGGTATAACGTAAACGAACAGAATCAGAGTTCTTCATCAGAGATCAGTACTTCGCCGCTTTTATCGGACATACAACATTTCACGACAGAACCAAAATCAAAACAAACAAACCTATCAAAATGGAGTAATCTAGTACAAGGAAAAATTATTATTTGTGGGCCATATAATATGATAAACACTGTTGAAAAATCTTTGTTTGATATGGGATATGATGAACAAGATATGATTATATTGTATTAGATTAGACCATTTTTTAAAGGTTTAGTTATATAATATGCTGGTCTTTATATAACAATGTTTTTCGGATTTTTAGATTATTATTTTTTTAAAAGCATATCAAATAAGGGGTGTGGACAAAAATTTTTTTTCTACTGTCACGCCGGATTATTTAGAGGCGTGTCTTAACAAGCCTGTTCCCGAACCATATTTTCATTTTTATATTTATTATTATTATTATATTTTTTTTGTTGTTAATTTGTTTATTTTAGTTTATTTCTCTTTTGGGATTCCTTGTACGTCGAAGATCATTCTGATTAATTAACGAGCCACAGTTAGTTGTAACTCGGGTTTCAAGATTACTATATCGGTAGAAAACGAAGGGACAATCGTTGAAACTAAAGTTTTGCTAGTGGAAATGGAGTTTCGTTAGTGAAAGTAAAGTTTCATGATTAATAAGGTAGCGAAAACACATTTTCATGTCGTAATAGCCATAGTCCTAAATAGTACCTTCAACATGTATATAAAGAATGATTTTTCTGTTTAATAAAGTTTTCTCAGACTTTAAGGTCTTTAGAAAAGTGACATAAAGAATTGATTTCTCAAAAGTGCTTCGTTTTAAAGTTTATTAAATGAATGATTTTCTTTTATATTTTTTTACCTTTATTAATAACTGTTTTGCTTCGCTAATTAACCGATACATATAGGGTTGGGGGCACGGTGTCCCAAGGCATGCCCAGGGAGGCATGCCTAGGGCATGCCCCTTACTCTTTTATATAGAAAAACCTCACATATGAAGTTTCGTTGATTTGATTGGTTAATTATCATAGTTGATTTGACATAAGTTAGGTTAATCAATTATAATATCTAGAGAGGCATGCCCAAAAAATTTTCCGTGCCCCCAACCCTACCTGTATCTGAATAAATTAAAGATCAGTGACTAGTGATGGGAAAAATGCGCATATTATAATAACATGCGCATGAATGCGCATTAATGCGCACGAAATGTTTCATGCGCATGATATCGCATGATAAAAAAAAGGCAAAAAAAAGAAAAAACGATTGAGAGAAGAGAGTTCTTGATGGGATTAAATGCGCATGAATGCGCATTAATGCGCATGATTCCGCAATCATGCGCACGCATGAAACCCATCTCTAATCGGATCGTCATTTTTTTTTTTATCCACTGGTTTGTTTCTCTCTTTTTTTTTTATATATTCATATAACATATATTTTTTTTTATTCACATATATATTTTCAGGTTGATTTCTGGTCAGGCTTGGGTTAGGTCAGTTCAAGCTTTAACCTAACCTGAAAATTTCAGATCAGGTTGTGAAATTTTCAGGTCATGTTCAGGTTGGCCAAAACCTAATCTGACCTGATCTGATCAGAACACTAATTATGGTCATCTGAATTTTTGATCATCTGAAGTTTTTATATAAATTTGTACAAACTTCAAAATTTCAGATAACTATATTATATAAAGTATAATATATAGTAGTGATTTGAACTGATTAGTATTCAACTGGTTAACCAATTTAGATATGGCCAATTCGAATAAATGGATGAAAATTAAGATCAACTGGTTAATCTAGTTAATTAGGTTAATGTATATAATTCAGTTGATTTAAGTAATCAATGCTGCAATGTATGTACATGCTATACCAAATTTAGATTGATAATTTGATTATAGTGTAGTGTACAACAAAACCCTGCATATAATAATTAAAATAATGAATTCTGAATATTTTATGAACAAATATTACAACGGGATTTTTATATTTTTAATAAGGCTTAAAAAAATTTCCAGAATTAGATTCTATTAAAAGTTATTTATACAACATAACTTAAATATTATGTTATATTTCTAATATCTAATTGACATTAATA